CGTTTCATGGAGGACCCTCGAGAGGATCATTGGGCTGCAGTAAAACGGCTGTTGCGTTATGTCAAGGGGACGGTGGACCAGGGCATCATTTTCCCCAAGACCGGCGGCGGGAGAGGCTGCGGCTCATGGTTTTTCAGCGATGCAGACATGACAGGCGACATTGTTGGGCGGAAGAGCACCTCCGGCGTGCTCGTCTTCCTTGGATCGGCCCCAATCTCATGGCAGTCGCTGAAACAGAAGATCGTGGCGTTGTTTACGTGCGAGGCGGAGTACGTGGCGGCAGCCACAGCGGCATGCCAGGCGGTCTGGCTGCGTCGGTTGCTGGGCGAACTGACCGGCGAGGAAGCTCGTCCACCCTGATGGTGGACAACCAGCCTGCTATTGCCCTTGCAAAAAATCCAGTCCTTCATGACCGGAGCAAGCAAATCGATACCCGTTTTCACTTCATCCGTGATTGTGTCAATGAAGGACAAATTGTTTTGGAGTTTGTCGAATCCGGACGGCAGCTCGCAGACATCCTTACCAAGCCACTAGGCCGTCTTCGGTTCATGGAGCTGAGGATCAAGATTGGAATGGTGGGAAACAAGCAAGAGCAGCAGGATTAGGGGAAGAATTGTAAGATATAATCCTGCAGCTTCCTTGTTAGTGAAGTGCAACTTCCTTGCATTTTCACTACACTTTCATTGCACTTGCAAAGCACTTTCATGGCGGCCATTTTAGGCTAATTTTTCATGACTTTTCAACTTAAGTAATTTCTAGGAAAGTCACTAGAATAGTTGTTTTTTAGTTCTTATAACTAGGGATGCAATTTTCATTTGTAAACACACAGAAAAACTGAATACTCAATACATTGAGTTTCACAATCTTCTTCTTTTCATCCTAAAAGTGCCCGTTTGTGCCGGAAGCATTTTTGCTTACCTGAACAGTGAACGAGCAAGGACTAACACACACAACTATGTCTAAAATTACGATTGATTTAACCTTTTCAAGTTGCACATTTTAGGGGTAATTTGGTCTGTCCAAAATTTTGACAGAAATATTTGTCCGTTTAAGATAGTAGCAGATAGACAGAATATATATAGATTGCTAAAGTATGTTGCATGTTGTTTCAATTAAAGTGCATCTTTCGCAAAATTGTAAAATGCTATAAAGGCATTTCAAATTGCGGTGCAGGGTAGAACTGAAAACTTTCTATACATGCATTAAATTGATCTGATGCATTTACTTAGAGGAGAAAGTCACAATGGCAAATATAATCAGCTTCAGAACTTCTTGATTGTAATTAATGGTTGAATTATATGTTAAAATGTGTTAAATTAGGAAATAAAACACCTTAACTTTCTTCAATCTTGAAACTGAGTGCCCTAGAACTACTGCTTTCACAGCCCGGAGAGACAAAAAGTGTTTCACTTGTCCATATTGGAGGTGATCGAGTTATAAGGGGTGGAAATAATATTGCTGATGGTCCGGTAGATGATGCTAAAATCCCAGTAGTGATGCAGGCTGTGCATGAAGGAGGATATGGATTTTTAGAAGAAGTAAATGCTAGGTCAGGCATATCCTACTTTGCAATGAAATTGAATTTTGGGTTTAATTTGATTAAGTTGCACAAACTCTGATTAGTTTAATCTTTGTTATGAGTGCCATTGATTCTTTCTTTTGAATCGATGGAACAGGGAGTTTGTTGTTGAAGAAGGATCTCCCCTTTCCTTATCAATGACTCATGAAAGCTATGCTAATATGTACGGTCCAACCACTGGTGATAAAATTCGGCTGGGGGACACTGATTTACTTGCAGAAATTGAAAGAGATTATGCTGTGTATGGGGACGAGTGCGTATTTGGTGGTGGAAAAGTTCTGAGGGACGGAATGGGGCAGGGTTCTGGATTTCACTCACTTGATTGTTTGGACACTGTAATTACAAATGCTGTGATAATTGATTATACAGGAATTTATAAAGCTGATATAGGCATAAAGCATGGTAATATTTTTTCGATTGGGAAAGCAGGAAACCCCGATGTCATGGATGCACTCGACATGATTATAGGAGTGAGTTTGGGTATCAGAACTTTTGGATTTTTTTTTTCTCGTTTATTTATCAACCAAGAGTTATAGTTCCATTGATATATTTTGTCAGGTAAATACTGAGGTTATCGCTGGAGAAGGAATGATTGTTACTGCAGGAGCTATAGATTGTCACGTGCATTTTATATGCCCTCAACTGGCTTATGACGCATTAACTAGTGGTGAGATTTTTCGAACAATACCTTATAAAATTTTGATGCAAGAGTACAAGTGCTTGTTTTTAGTCGGATCTGCTTGGTCTGTATGCAAACGCAGTTTGAGCAAGGTGAAATACTTTGGTAAAACATTACATGGTTGGGTTCACTCTTCAATGGTCTGAGAAATGTATTATGTACAAGTATTTTTGCTGCATAGGGTAGAGGAGTACCCGTTTACGGAGTGTGTTTTGACAAGTTGAGTTATAGAATGTCAAGAAAATTGACCAACTATGGGCTTCCAATTGCCATTTTTTAGTATCCTGTCTCAGGTTCAAAACTCATATACTATTTGGTTTCATAAGAGTTCGACTGGAATGAGAATATTTGCTTGGTTTATTGAACTCATTTACTAATATAGAATTAACCATCTTTGTTAGCTTTCCACCTTCCATGCTGAGAGATGTGTTTAAAGGCCAATAATTGTATGTACTGAACAGGATATTTTGTGATC